TCAAATATATTATCTGATATACTTTTTTTAAGACATTCACAATACACATAAAATTATTGATTTACTGCGAATTTACCCATCAAATAGTATATTTTACTTCAATAATAAAATCAATTACATGAATAAACAGTTATTTCTGATTGGCTGGATTTATGTATTAGTCATGTGAGTGTATTTATAGAGGTATTTCAATTATATTCAAAACTTAAAATTACTTGCACATGTAGAATATAGAGGGTGTACATTTAGCTCTAAGTCCTAAGCTTGGGACTAAGTTATAGTGTGCATATAGAGAGGGTATGCATTTATAGAGCGTGCATTTATAGAAGTGTTACTGTAAATGTATTAGATATATTAGAAGAAAATATAAGTATTAATAAAAATAACATCTATTTAGATAATATTATAGAACTTGACGTATCAGAATTTTTAAAAGATTTTGATGAATTTATCAGAGATTTAGATATTTTCTTAGAAGAGAAATTAGATAATATTAAAATAGTTCAAGAGAAAATTAATGAGAATTGGAATCCTAATTTAGCAATTGAAGTTTATTTGTAATAACTTTATAAACGTGTTGGTTAAATAATTAATGTCTATTAAAATTTTCATTTTATAAATAAATTTTTGCATAAATATTATAATTTACTTTAATTGATAAAGTATATTGTTTAGTTTTGCTAAATTTCGTTTAAAAATTTGAATATTTGTCAGTTTCATTAGAAGGTTTCATCAAGTTTTGATAATTTTAGAAGTTTCGCTAAGTTTTAGAAGTTTTATCAGATATCAGAAATTTTGAAGATTTCAGAATTTTACATGAATAACAAAACTAGTTTTACTAAGTTTTGAAAGTTTTACTAGAAATTAGATTTCAGTTTCGCTTACAACTTTATTGGAAAACAAATTTAAATTTAAGAAATTAATTAGCTGCCCTTATTATTTTTTTTCTCCTTTTCTGTTTACTTCATATATATATGTAAGATCGGAAGAGAATTTCAATTTTTTGTAATGAAGAATAGAAAGTGTCATCAAATAAATTTTTGCTTCACATAAAATTATACCAAAAAAATGATAAAAATATGAAGAAATAATAAAGAGAACGTGACTTGTTTGTAATGATAACGAATTATTTATCGATTTTTTTGCTGAAAAAAATAATAATAAAAAATTCAATTCATGTGAAATCCTTAATTTTTTTGATTTCTGAGTCTTGATTCTAATAATATTTTTTTTTTATTCTCATGTATTTCAGTCTTTGAATTTAACGAACTGAATTTTCTATCAAACCACAAAATAAATAAATTAATAAATCAAAAAAAATGTCATATCACTCCTTTCAACACTATATCTTTAATTTAGAACTTCC